CATCTTCACCTGTTTTATAACTTATGCTTATGAGTGACTATTAACATACTGGGCAACTAATAAGAATGACTATTCCCCTATCTAGCCATGGGCTATATGAGTTAGGGTGAGTCTGAAATACTCCAAGATGTGGAGTCTGCAAGAGACCAAAGGATCAGAACAGCAACTCTTCCTTCTGAATCTTAACTGTGGAATGAAAGGAGACTAGCTGGATCTACTGCAGACAGGATGGGAAGGAAAGGGGCACAGGAGAAGTGGAGATCAAGCAAACTGGAAGCAACGCTAATATAATCTCTATTCAGGTATTTTAGTGCTCTCTGGAGCACAGAGTATATTTAGGTTCAATGGCATGCTGAGAGAACAGCTAGAGAATGCTGCTCACTGTTCTTCAATGCCTACTGATACTGCATAAACAGTATTGAACTAATTGTTGCTTTCATTTGAGTTGCAGGCTCCTGCTTTACTGATGACAGATTTCTTTGCAAATTCTTGTCTCAGGCCTAGCTACCACTTCTGTGAATAACAAATAAGGAAGAAGTGTTAAGAGCTTTGTTTACACTGCTGGGTTTTTTGTAGGATAGGTAAGCTGGGTTTTTTGTTGCTTGGCTTGAGTTATGTTGGATTTTTTCCTTTTTTCCTTCAGAGTAGGAAATATGAAGTATAAATATGAACTTCATCCATCCAGAGATATTATCTATATTGCCTGTGGGCAGACTCTTAAATCAGAATGAGACAACTTGCTCAAGGATGATGCCCTCTAGCTTGTACTTACTAGGCAGTGAGCTCTTAGGGTTTGCTTTCCAGCCTTTAAGCTAACAGATAGAGGGTAGTATCTTGTATGGATCATCTGTGGGGGCTCAAGAAAGGGGAGTCTTCTCTAAATTTTAACTATAAATTTAGATATTTTTTTCCCTTACTGTAAAAATAGGGTTTCAGTGAAGCTGATCAGGCATGCAGTGATAGTAGTCTGAGACTTTAAAGACCAAACCTTGCAGTATGTATTATCAGATACCAGCCTCAACAGTTAGTGTTAATTAAATTCACCTCGAAGGACCTATGTGGAAAAAATAACCATGGATGCTGTAATTGCCTGTTACATGTGGATGAGATTTTACTTTGTAGTGCGGTTCCCCTTATCTGACTAAACATTTCTAGCAAAAGTTGTCTAAAAATAAGTCCTGGAAACTGTTGTTTTGCTGGTATAAATATGTATATAGATTCGTGTATATAGATTAACTTGTCTTAACTACTTTAAAGGCTCTTCTGATCTGTTTTTATTCATATTCCAAACTTTGAACCAACAATTTGTTTCAGGACTGAGCCCTTTGTTTTCGCTTTATTGTACAGCTTTGGTTTTCCTGTGCTATCTTCAATGTGTTGGTTGCTTGTTCAGTTGCAGATGCCCAAAACAATAGCCCATTAATAACTTAACACTTGCACTAACACAGAGGATTAAAACTTTGCTCAGGGCAGCCTCAAATTTCTACATCAGCCTGAAGGCAAATGCAATCCTGAAACTGAGCAAATAGAGCTTCTGTTCAGGCCTGTGACACATCACATGAGATGACTCATCTTTCTGTCCTTCATTCTATATATTGATATCTGAAGGACCAATGTGGATTTTTTTTTTTTTCCCCCTACTGATGATGGGAGGCTTACTTGCATAATCATCTCACTATCAGCATCTCTTGTATTCAAGGAAGGAACTTAGGCTGCCTTTATCACTAGAGCAAGCTTGATATTCAAGTATGTAATTCACATCTGCAAAAACAGGAAAACATGTATCACTTTAAGAGTTGCTGTTTGCTGTGTAGAAACACAGATTTAGAAGATTTGGACTTCTGAATCTTATTTCTTAACTATCTGTTGAATAAATACTTGCTATCTGTTAGTTGATGGTAGCTGTTTGAAGCAAACAGGTGGAAGCCTCTGGCTAATGGTGAAATCTAATTGCTTCAAAGCTTAGGGTTATAAAATCGTGTAGGCCTATTGTTGTAGCAATCTCATTATATTTGTTTTTGCATACTGAATGTCTTTGGCTCTGGCTGGGAATGTTTTGGGTTCCACAGAGGAACCCTGGTTAGAATTGCAGCCTGCATTCTAGTTACAAAGTTGGGTGGTGTTTATACTTTCACATAAATTCTGGAGTTGGGCTACTAAAAGCCAGACCTGAGTGAGCTCTTCAGGGTCAATATGGGCCAAATACTATTTAGTCTTCTAAAAATGATCTTGGATGGTGGGCTTGAGTGCATAGTCGTCAAGTTTGAGAATGATAGCAAACTGGGAGTAGATACAACGGAATGAAGTCACCATAGAGACGTTGACAGGTGGGAAGATTGGGCCAACAAGAGTGGCATCAGGTTTAGCAGATGTTAAGGCCTTCTCTTGGAATGGGTTAATTCCAAACAACAGTTCATGTTGGTGTCTGACCAGCTGGTGGATGGCTCTGCTGAAAAGGACTGGGAAGTCCTAGTGGACAGCAAGCTCAGTGTGAGCCAGTAATGTGCCCTGCAGCAGAAAGGCAAACGGTGTCCTGGGCTGCATCAGCAAGAGCATAGCCAGTAGATCAAGGGACATGATTATTCCTCTGTACTTGGTCCTTCCAAAGCTGCACATGGGAATAGTGTGTCTGGTTTTGGTCCCCCAGTTTAAGAAACTGAAAAACTGGAGGCTTGTGAAAATAATTAGAGAGCTGGAGAACGCAACCCATAGAGAAAGGTTGAAGGTATTCTTTCTTCAGCCTAGAAAAGAGGAGGATTGGGGGAGTCTGCTTTTTAGCTCCTGTAGATAGCAAAGCAGCTTGATCCTTTTAAAGGAGATACTCTAAAGGGAGAACTGAGCCATGTTTATGATCAGAGTTATAAAATCCAGCTTAAGTTAATTTCTTTTCCGTACCTAGAATACCTAATCTTGTAGGTAGGTCTTTCTTTGGCTGTGTAGCTGTGTTCAAACCAGAACTTCTGGAATGTGTTGGAAAACATAAAATTTCATTACCATCTCTAGCCTGTGATAAGAGGTGTCTTTCCCTTGTGTAGCTTTTGCAGCAAAAAGCTCTAACGTAGGGACTGAAATTGCCAGTTACCTTTTGTAGCTAAAAAAAAAGTCTACAGACTTCCAAATAAAGTTAAACAGTGCTGCAAATACTTCTTTTTTTTGGGGGTGGCGAATGAGGATATGTCTGTTGTGAAGTCCTGAAATGCTGAGCAGATGGCTAATGGCCTACCTTATTCTCTAGGAGTCCCTGGTAAAACCAATTCTAATACTTCATAGCTACGCCAAGAAAAAGTCACGTAGTGCAAGTTGTCAAAGATCTAGCCAAATCTGTTCTTTGCTAATGTATACTTCAAGAAATACTTAAAGGGAAATACTTTTCTCCTACAGTTATTTAAATGCTTTAAAGTGATTTAGCAGGTACCACTGTTTCCTTGGGTTTGAAGCCTGTTGAGAGAGACCTATTCTGTCTGCTTGTTGAACTTAACCGACACTGTTCCAATGATTTACTGGTAATTGTCACTCTAAACATAAGAAACCTAATTCCACAGTAAGTGAACAAGGTTGTCAGACTGCTGAACTTCTGTTTCATGCTTTCATAGCCTAATACTTGGAGGAATGTTTCTTGAGGTCATGCAATATTGTTGTTTAGAGAGTGAAACTGAAGTTTGTGGGCTGTGTCAGATATTTATGTTGAAATGGTTATTAATTTAAATAGTTAATGTGGTTTTGAGCTACAATAATAGTAAATAAGACCCTTTTGTTAAAGGGGCTTAGAAGTGGGTGTTGTTGGCAGGGTATATTGTATCTTGAAAAATATGCCTCAGAAATGGACAGTGTCTTGCTTTGGGTACAATGTATGAGACATTAGTATGTCTAAGTAGGTTCTTAAGCAGGTCAACTCAAGTCTTGTGTACGGAAAGCTCATGTGATCTGACAGCATGTATGGTGACATAACACACTGGCATTTGTGTTAAATCTATTCTTGCTATGAAATGTAAAACTGTCTTCAAAGGAGGGAGCGGTATTCCTGTG